AGGGCCAATTGCTCAATGCTTCCCTGCACAAGAGCCTTGGTGCTGTTAGTAACATTGTTTGCAAAAACAGCAGCCTCAAGAAGTTCATCTGTATTGTTGACTTTTGTATTGATTTCTTCCGTTATGCCAACCAGAAGGGCCAATTGGTCAATGCTTCCCTGCACAAGAGCCTTGGTGCTGTTAGTAACATCATTTGTGAAGATAGCAGCCTTAAGAAGTTCATCTAGAAGGGCCAGTTGCTCAATGCTTTGAAACTGCTGCTGACTATTATTGTTCATTGCTTGCAGTGAACTGTAGCATGAACTGGCATTAGATCCAGTGCCAGTAGCATCTTGTGCAGTCCAGTTCAGTCCAATTATGATAATAATAGTAACCTGTAGTAACAGTATGATACACATCAATACTGTTAGTATAATAACTGGTATACTCCACACTGACTGATGGGATGATTTACCATCAGATACAATATGAGGCTGAGGCTCTACCTCTCCTTTACCATATTGAGCCAGCTCATATTCATTCTCTTTCGTTGAACTCATGTTCTTCACAGACTGATAGCATTCATCTGCCATTTCAGTATAAGATCCTGTACAAATCCTTGTCCTTCTTTAATCCCTTATATACTGTAGAGTTGATAAACAGGGCCAATATTGCTTGAATGCTTTCCTAATTCCTGCAGAAAAGGCTGCTCATAATATTATTCTAGGAAACAGTGAAACGCGGAAATTTTAAGTCTAAATATATGCACATATGTACTGATGCCATTATTTGTACAGTGAGACACATAATTCTGCAGAAAAGGCTACTCATAATATTATTGCAGGAAACAGTGAAACGCGGAAACTTTAAGTCTAAATATATGCACATATGTACTGATGCCATTATTTGTACAGTGAGACACATAATTCTGCAGAAAAGGCTACTCATAATATTATTCTAGGAAACAGTGAAACGCGGAAATTTTAAGTCTAAATATATGCACATATGTACTGATGCCATTATTTGTACAGTGAGACACATAATTCTGCAGAAAAGGCTACTCATAATATTATTCTAGGAAACAGTGAAACGCGGAAATTTTAAGTCTAAATATATGCACATATGTACTGATGCCATTATTTGTACAGTGAGACACATAATTCTGCAGAAAAGGCTACTCATAATATTATTCTAGGAAACAGTGAAACGCGGAAATTTTAAGTCTAAATATATGCACATATGTACTGATGCCATTATTTGTACAGTGAGACACATAATTCTGCAGAAAAGGCTACTCATAATATTATTCTAGGAAACAGTGAAACGCGGAAATTTTAAGTCTAAATATATGCACATATGTACTGATGCCATTATTTGTACAGCAAGACACATATTTCTACAGAAAAGGCTACTCATAATATTATTCCAGGAAACAGTGAAACGCGGAAATTAAAACTCTAAATATATGTATATATGTACGTACTGATGCCATTATTTGTACAGCGAGGCACTTATTTCTGCAGAAAAGGCTACTAATAATATTATTAAAAATAATAAATTACTTCTTAGACTACTGCATGTTTAAACCTATAAGTTATGGACTGATGTGATAATTTTTCATAATTATTGTATTGTTTGTATAGCTGATTTCAGAGCATTGTGTGTAACCTCACCTCCATACATATGCAACTCAATTTTTAGAAATTAATTTTTTTAAAAAGCAACAACAACACTACTCTCAATTCTACACAATGAATAAAAACTTGCAAGGATTGTTCTATAACTACTGAACATAAATCTCATAATAGCTAACAGGACTGTCATCATTACTAGTTCCTTCGCTTCCACACACCCTCAACTCAATATAGTCAGTAGTGGTATTGCTACCATAGTCTCTGTGAAACCATGGGATACCGGGAACATTACAACAAGGTGATTCAAGAGAACCACAACCTTGACCATCCCAGAGTGGATCAGATGTGTAGAGTGTATTAGCAGCACTGGTAGGGTTACCAGACTCACAGAAATAATGGTTTCCTACAAAAGATGGGGTAGTCTGGATGCTCCCTGTTGAACATGGACATAACCATTCATTGTTGAAGTAATAAGTATCACTTATGCTACATGCTAGTGTCCAGACATGTTGACGAGGAGACCCACGAGTGATACTAACACCATCAACATAATAAGAACTAATATTGTTAGATCCACCATGAAATGCATCACCTGACCGATATTGATACCCTGTTACTTTACCACATATCTGAGAATAACTGATACCATTAGATGGGTACTGAACTGATACACAACTGCCTCCACTTGATGTTGCTCTACCACAAGCTCTAACTCCTCCTGACTGGTACAGTCTAAACCCAGAAGGACAGTTCACTGTAGACTCACTCATATCCAGATATGCTAGTCTTGTCCATCCTCCTCCTGAACCACACAATGTTCCCATATTACAGTATGTAATGTAAGTTGCACTAAAATTTGATAGTAGATACACACCTGATGAACTGAATGGTTGTTTCTCCTTAATCTCTTTACAAGAGGTAGGTAAAGCAGTTGAGTCATTGTGTAGTACTAATAGTTGTTGTGCTATTAGTAGTATATCATCAACCACTCCAGCAGTAGAGGTACTGGTGTCTTGTATATTAGAGAGAGTGTTCACTATGCTAGCATGGGATTGACTGTTAGATGTAGCAAACATTTCCAATAAGTTTGTATTGTTGTTCAATGAAGTTTGAACTAGAGAAAGAACTTGTGCAGAATTTTCAATTCTAGCATCAATACCATGAAAGCTGTTATTAACTTTTATCAGATTTTCCATGTTGTCCTGAGCAAGGGCATTAGTGTTTTGAGTGACATTGGTAATACGATAAAGGAGTTCATTAGTATATGTATCGTTTACATTCCTGTTGATTTCTTGAGCTATATCAACTAGAAGGGCCAATTGCTCAATGCTTCCCTGCACAAGAGCCTTGGTGCTGTTAGTAACATCATTTGTGAGGATAGCAGCCTTAAGAAGTTCATCTAGAAGGGCCAGTTGCTCAATGCTTTGAAACTGCTGCTGACTATTATTGTTCATTGCCTGCAAAGAGCTGTTATGGCACGAGCTGATATTAGATCCAGTGCCAGTAGCTGCATTTTGTGTAGTCCAGTTCAGTCCAATCATGATAATAATAGTAACCAGTAGTAACAGTATGATACACATCAATACTGTTAGTATAATAACTGGTATACTCCACACTGACTGATGGGATGATTTACTATCAGATACAATATGAGGCTGAGGCTCTATCTCTCCTTTACCATATTGAGCCAGCTCATATTCATTCTCTTTCGTTGAACTCGTGTTCTTCACAGACTGATAGCATTCATCTGCCATTTCAGTATAAGATCCTGTACAAATCCTTGTCCTTCTTTAATCTCTTATATACTGTAGAGTTGATAAACAGGGCCAATATTGCTTGAATGTTTTCCTGATTTCTGCAGAAAAGGCTGCTCATAGTATTGTTGTAGGAAACAGTGAAACGCGGAAATTTAAACTCTAAATATATGCACATATGTACTGATGCCATTATTTGTACATTGAGACACATATATTTCTGCAGAGAAGGCTACTCATAATATTATTGTAGGAAACAGTGAAACACGGAAATTTTAAGTCTAAATATATGTATATATGTACGTACTGATGCCATTATTTGTACAGTGAGACACTTATTTCTGCAGAAAAGGCTACTCATAATATTATTGTAGGAAACAGTGAAACACGGAAATTTAAAATCTAAATATATGTATATATGTACTGATGCCATTATTTGTACAGTGAGACACATATTTCTGCAGAAAAGGCTACTCATAATATTATTCTAGGAAACAGTGAAACACGGAAATTTAAAATCTAAATATATGTATTAGTAACGCGGTAGCATTACTAAGTAGGATTCACCCCACTTCAAAATGGCTGACACAACTTTTGCAGCCTTGCTATACCGGGAAAACGAGCTCCTATGCTTACCAGACTTTATAGAGGACCTTATCTTGACCAGAGGACTCCATTGGTACCACTAGTATGGCTCTAAACCTTGTCTGAGAGAGAAGTCAAAAATCCGGAAAACGGCCGTTTTGTTCAGCCACCTTTTTTCATCATTATCATCATCATCATCATCAAGTCCTGTCAATCCTGTTGTCGGTCGGTATCTCAACTTTGCTTGGTGATAGAAGGCTAATTCTTACACCATTCTACTCCAATAATGCATGCGCAGGTCCCTATTCTTTATGACAATTCTCCAACAAAGAAGTTGTACTGTCACTGCTGGATCGGGCCCATCTTAGCTGCATGCCGCCATTTTATTAATTAAAGAAGCATGTGCTCCAAAATTTGGGTGTGGTTGCACATGCTCAGATTTGTAGCTCTGGAAGAAGCAAGCAAATGAAGCTATTAATCAACTGCAACACTTCGTGGAGGTTTTCAGCTACAGGCAGATCGCAACTGTCACGATCTTCAATGTTTTATTTGCACTCCAATTAACGCACACCTTGCCTCATGAATAATTTGCTTGTAGAGTTGTAACTTACTTACTTTTTAACTTCTATGTACAGTGTTATTTTGCTATAAAACTTGGTTAGTACAAGGTAGTGCTGTTTATCAATATTTGGAAAAAGTTTTATTAATAAAGTGTCAAAACAAACTTGGTATAAAACCAGTCTAACTAGAAAGATTTTAAAGAAAACTTTTAATTAGGCAATGGAATGTAGTGGGCCATTTTTATTTTTGCAAATGTATGGAAATAGTAGACAGCTGGACCTCACCTATTATTATTGGTGATCTTATTTATCAAAATATCAATTGTGTCTGTGCTTGTATGTGTGCTCTAGCAAAGGTCAAAAAGTCAGCCATACTACTACAAAATTGAGTCGTATTTAAAAGGCTTTATAGTTATAATATAAATATATATGTAGCACACAATATTATTTTCAGCAGAGATGGTGCACCATCATGCACAAAGCAGTTCATGAAGATTATCTTAGTCCGGCTGCTGCTGTAGCAGTCCACTGACTGCATGAGATGACATGAACTCCAACAGTTGAACAGTGCAAGTGCATTTCTCAAAAATTTGAGGTGATTAGGCTACAAAATAATTATATATTATTTCTAGAAAATAAAGGAATGAAATTTGTAAGAACTAGCTCCAGCAGTCAGCATTGCTGTGACAAGTCATATATATCAGTAGTTATCATGCACCATATTCATGTATAAAATGAAGATTTTAGGCACACTAACAACTGTTTTATAATGCTTTTAAGTCAAATAATACTGAATATAAATATTTAGTCACATTTCATTCCAAATAGTACACTTTTTACTACTAATTCCTCTATCAAGGACAACTTTCTTTGCCGGGACAAAATAGTGGGCCAAATGCGTTTTTGCAACACTATGCGCTCATAAAGGACATCAGATTGTGGCAAATTTTATACTCTACCATGCTATATCATTTATTGTTGTGTCTGGCTTACTTGTAGTGAGTGGTCCAGTGTTTAGTTATGGCAACCGTCTTTGTGAAACTCAACAAAAGTCTTGATTCACTTGCACTAATTATTATATGAAGCTATAGCACCTTTTGAAACATTAAAAGCAGGTCTCTTGTCCTTCTCAAAAGTTCTATACATGAATTCTTTTACAATATTAAGAAAAAGAGCTCATTTTAGTACCTCAGTAAGCAACAGTCCACCATGTTTATTTCCAGGGACACGCCCACTTTTTTCCACAAATAAAAAATAGGAAATCGTGACAGTTGCGATCCGCCTGGCTAAGAGAAGGTATTATTAATCTTGCATACTATTCTTTTACTAAGTGTGTAATGAATTATTTTATTTTAAAAAACTAACAATTAATTAAATAATGTTATAATAATTATGACTTGACAACAGGAAGGATTGCAGAGAAGATGGATACTGTCACAGTGTCACTGCTCCTTGAACAGGGGCGTAGCTGGGAAGGAAATGATGAGGGGGTCCAGTAATAAATGGTGCGCGAAGCATGCCAAAAATTTGACCACACCCTTTTTAGTGTTTGTATAGTGCACTAAAGTAGCATTTTGCGTATTTTAAAAGCATCAAAATCTTACATAATAATAATAATAATAAACTTATTGTTTGTGTAAAACCAACAAGTATCACAATGGCAACTGAAGAAATATTATAAATGTTATAAAAAAATTAACACAAACAAGAACATAAAAAAATTTAAAAAACAAGATGAAGTAGGATTCTGAACGACCAACGAAAATACGAAATGAAAATCCTACTCTCGTGACGCAAATTCTACTCTACATTGTAAGG